GAGGTTTTGATTCTGATATTGGGAGGAAGCTCGCCAAATCGCGCCGAGGCCACACTAAATCTCGGACGGGATGCATAGAGTGCAAGAGGCGTCATATCAGGGTCAGTTGGCTTCTTGATATCGCCTGATCCTGCTAACGTGACCGAGTGCGACGAAAGACGCCCGGTATGTGCCAATTGTGACATGGCCGAGAGGCCGTGTGCCTATGTTCCGGAAACTCTCAAATTTGTTATGCCAGTTCTCTCCTCTAGAGTTAGAGCCCCTCTCCGAGTACCGCCCGAAGTCAGCAGTCCAGCGTCCACACCCAATTTGACGACAGGCGTGGAGGATGGCGTCACTGTCAATTTCTTGCACTTAGAGCTCCTACATAACTTTACCACGGAGACATTTATCATAGGTATGGGGCAGGACTTCCCTGATCCTACTCGATTAATGATCGACGCTGCCCTAGAGGCTCCATACTTGATGTATGAGGCTTTAGCTATCTCAGCTCGCCGTCTGGCTTCCCTTAATCGCTCCAGAAATGGCGAATACTTACACGAAGCGATGCTTTTACAGACGCGTGCAGTGTCTCTTTTCAACAAGGATAAGGACGAACTGAACGGATCCTCCTGTGTCGCAAGGCTCCTTTTCTCGTCCCTCTTAGGCCGTCACCTATTAGCAGATACACTTGCAAATCGAGCTGGCAGTTTCGAATCCTTCCTCGGACGATACGATCAATTTCTACGACTTCATCGAAGCATGAGGGACCTTGCGACTGACGCACAACCTTATCTTATGCAATCCGAACTTGCGCCTGCTATACTGTGGGGCACCACAATTTTCGATTCTAAGACCACAGGTCATCACTGTGACGGAGCTCTTGACATGTTGTTATCATCAGTCCACTTAGATCACAGGTCCCGCGAAGCGTGTCGACAGGCCGTTCATTTCCTACAAGTAGGATTTGACGAGACTCTGGGTGGAGGATCACAATGGCGCGCAATACATATAATTTTCTGGTGGTCAATCCTTATCTCTTCAGAGTTTGTAGATTTGCTTGTCTGCCGACAACCTGAAGCCATTGTGATATTGGGATACTACTCCGCGCTCTTGCATTATGGGAGAAATATATGGCCAATTGCTGATGCAGGCAACTGGTTGCTTAATGCTATTGCGCAATACCTGGGCTCCGAGTGGGCGGAGAGGATGGCCGGGCCACGAGCCTTACTTTTGGCGGCGGCTTCGTAGAGCCACGGAGTCCAAAGGTAACGATCTAATTATGATTCATCCTAGCTATAGGACTTGGTTCATGCTGTTGTTTTTGTTGCCATAGTTTCATACGTGTATTTCTCAAGTAGGTTTCGCGGCCCAGTGGCTTGGTGAAGCAGAGGGACATGTTGTGGAGTCAAATATTTGCATAATATCAGCATCGAATCGTTCGAGGCTGTGTTTACTCGCTTTTGGAACTATATGTTAACGCTTTTCTTCAATGACTCATGAAGAACAAAGGAAAGAAAACACAATGTCATTGAGAGCGTATCAAAGATCAGCAAAACGAGAATAGGAATAACTATATTTTCTCTACAGACTTCTCCTGTCTTCTGTGTCTCAAAGTACACAATTCAATGCTGTCATACAGTTTTGCGTGTCCCGAAAGTTGCCCTCACTCACCCCAGTCGTTCACCCAACCCGTGCTCCATCACAAGTCTTTATATGATGGTGGGCGCCAGATCAGGCTGAGGCGACTTTGGGCAGTCAGGCTGAGCTCGGTTCAGGATGCTCTGAATACTATACAGTGAAAAATGAGGCGTTACAAGACATGCTTAGCTCCGCCTGATTGGAGGTAAGCGGCTGTGGACTGTGGCGGCCAGTATTTGAGGACCGCAATTTAGCGAGGATGGGTTGTGTAAGACTGCTTATACAAACCTTTTGTTTGTCTAGACATATTCCAACTCCTGAAATGGGACAAACCTTTTGCCTTGTGGCTCCTTGAGCGAAGCTGTCCTTACCTTACTGTAGGCTCGTGCTGCGGTCGAATTGTCATGATCTTCCATTGCCTGTATGGCGGCTGGATCTTCTCGAACTATCGAGCGAGCTCAGCTTCCGGCGCGAGAGTTCTAAGTGCGTTATACTTCATGGTAGTCTGGCTAATCTGAAGTGTCATTTCTGTTCTAAGCCCTTTGAATGGGAAGACTACCGACGTTGTATCTAGGCCTATGAGATTCACTATGATGGAACCGAATATGATAATGGTCGGGATGTATTCCCGCTCCTTCTTCCTTGTCTAAAGTGTAACGACCGTTCTATAAATCGAGATAGGTTGGGCTATAACTTTGGGCGTTTGGCTAATTGATCCTAGATATGGTCATATTCGATGAAACCTACCTTTAAGGTGAAGAAATTGCCTATATCGTCAATTGTGATATACGATTAGGACTTGACCTTATCTTGGTGCTAGAAATAAGTATAACGATTCAGTGGATAAAGTAGCTGTTTTAGCTCTTTGGTCCTTAAGTATGAGAGTGAGGAGGAAAGATCATATATGTAAACCGGTCAAAGCCTTTAAGCGGTTGCCGTAATTCGATCGACTATTGGATATAGTAGGATGTTGATGAGTAGGTAAGAGACATTAAGAGAAGGCCGAGGAGTGGGTTTAAGACTGGGCCGTACTCACAGGGAGCCTCGGAGGCATCGTGTTGCTTTGCAAAAAGCCCGCACACTTCCTGGGTCAGGGGATACCAGACTTCGTCATGACCCTCTTGGCTCGAGGGGCAACCCCATTCCTTTGGACTTAACAATATACCCATACCAGCCCATTAGTTTCCGTGCTCATTGTCTTTAGTCGCATACGTATATGGATGTCACACCTCAGTCTCGAGATAGTTAAGATCGAATTGAGCGTACGAACCCGTGGGCTTATTTGGCCACGCTTTGAAATGCACGAGCCACAAGCTGAGTAGCCCTCGCCGATAGCCCTTGCGCTCAGGTCAGCTTGAGACAGAACGAGTCTAAGTCGACAGGAACGTCTGTAGTAGGGCGTTTAGCCATGGATCGGTTGCGTTGCTCGTATTCAGAAGTCGAGGGATGATGCTATACAGCTTTAGTGAGAGGTAAGTGACATAGATCGAGAAATGAAACCTGCCGGTTCAGCGAAGGCGACAACATGGTTGTAAATAGTCTTTCAGTACTGTACCACAACTAACGTCACAGCTAACGCCCGAAGGCACCAGACGCTTTGGCCAGATTCACATTCACATACATTACGCTCGCAGAGGAGACAAGCTCGCGTGTTCTCGATACTGCTCTCGATCAGCTGAAACCTGCATTTGTCTTTCACTGTCCTCTTGTGGACATTGTGTACATATCAACCCATCTCCAGGTCACGAAACACTGGATAGCAAAATCAAACATGCAATTCTGCGCCAAAGCCTGGAAACGACTGGCCTTTAATCGACTCCTGTCCATCCGTGCTAGAAATCCTGCATCTTCGTGAGGGCTGAATTTCAATTACATAGTTCAGCGCCAATGAAAGGCTTCCTTTCTATTTAATTTTTTTGTGCACCTGGAACTTGATTGACTCTGTGCCCCTGAGATCTTTTTCTTTATAAATAAAAAAAACCAGAAAAAAACCATACAAAATGAGCACTTCACAACATATGCAGCACTTAGAAATACATAGTAAGAGTTTTGAGAGTAGGGGTCCTAGCAGATGCCTAAATACGACGAAAACTCTAGTACAGTATGTGACGTTCTCAGCATACGGCTGAGGCTCCTTCGTCGCCGGCCTACATCCACCTCATCTCAAAAAGCGGCCACAAGCGCGAGATCGTTGTCAATAGGGTAGGAAGTCGGATCAAGACAGTAACGGCCTCGCGCCCTGATCGGCAGACTCCACCTGTGGCTCACCAGTCTGGTGGCTAGGCCTCGCCAGGTAGCCGCTACAGACCAGCCCCCTTGCCCATGCATTAGAGCCTGAGCTGAAACCAGGGTAGTCACCGTGGGAAGCTCCTTTCAGCCTTAACGGAAGCGCCGCGTTTGGGGACCGTTGCGATATTTGGGTTAAAAGACTCATACAATATCCCGCTGTATACGCTGAAATGGGATAGAGTAGACTGACCGTATTGACGAGTCGAGCGGAATATCGATCGTATAAATGATCCATCCGAACTAATCATCTATGTTGAACGACACCAGGTGTACACATCCCGTGGGTATGGGCGGAAGAAAAGGTTGCTGGCCTCTAGCCTTTGGATCTTGCGACGCTGAATATGAGAGACCAGTATTGTTGGTGCAGGAAATTGTTATGTCTAGCTTTTCATCAACTCAAAGGGTTCACGGTAGCTTGAATTGCCAGGTCCAAGTGGCTATATACAGGATGCTATATACAGGCCTAAGGTCTTCCTGATTCGGAAAGATATCCTGAGCCGCCTGATATACTCTTGAGGGTGACTTGATCATAGGATCTAGAGCAACAGCTTCACAAAGAAACAAATATCAAAGGGTATATTCTACTGAATTATATTCACGCCAGATTGTATCCATCCCAAGCTCACTATGAGCCCCAGGGGAACAATCCTTCGTCCATAGAAGCCCATGAATCGACAAAACTGTTTATGTCAAACGATGGGTATGCTGGCGGCAGTGATGGATGCTCAAGCATTCCCAGCCCAGGGTTTGCCATCCACTCCATGTTGTTCCCTCTTCGCCCCTCAGCCGTTGGTCTTCTTTGCTGCTGTTGTGGAATAGACGGCGTGTGCATCATCTGTGTGAAGGTCTCAGCCGCTAACGGCATCGACAAGTCCAGGGATCTGCTCCTCTGCTGTGCTTCGCGCCTTCGCAGAGCCTCTTCAATCAATCCACTCAGCACTAATGCCCGCGGTGAGCTGCGTGTCCCTTCGGGCCAGTCGTCCCATATACCATCAATAGCATGCCAAGCGCGACGTGTTGCCTGGCTCAACGGGCGGGACATCAACTCTCGGACTACGTATGTCGCAACCGACCACTGGAAGTAGGTGGTACTAAGCCAACGCCAGCGCTTGACGGTCTCGTTAGTCTGTAACCGCCTCGATAGCTCGAGCACATGAATACCGAGTAGGAATAGATGGTCTCTGGTTCTGGGCGGCAGACTACCGCCACCATTTTCCTCGTCCAGTGAGATGTACATCAGGATACGACGCTTGGCCAGGATCATGGCGACTACGTCGGCGGCAAACCTTCTAATGGGGAGATCTGTTGTCTCGTCCCGAAAATATTTCAACTCGAGAATCTCACGAACCGAATGTAGACGCTTTTCAGCGCCACAAGCATTCGCATCCCGGTGGGCACTACTCTCTGATTTAATTTGGTTGAATGCGCGGGTGATTTCGTATTGCATCAGGCAGAAGCTGAAGTCTGTAAAACCACCATGCTTTTCGCCCAAAGGCGCATCCTGGCGCTCGAGCTCGAAATCGTTAATGTTTGATGGCAGCTCGGTGTCGGCAGCGATACCGCTTAGCGGCGAGCATCCAAGCGTGGAGTTGTCAGGATGGTCGACGAGGTTGACCAACTGCCACCACAGACGCCTACGTAACTCGACCTCGAGGCGCGAGAGTCCTAACGCGGTACCGTCGCGATTGAGCTTCATCTGGCTGGCCAGGCTGATGGTCGCGCCAGATAGGGCGTTGAGCCTCGGATCTCCTTTATATCTCAGATAGTACAGGAAGAGCAGGAGGGCTTGCAACGTGCGCAAGTCGTCCGCGACGAGGAAGTTCGCCTCCACGAGCGCCTGCTCCGTCGAAGCCGCGCATTTCTCTAGCATCCACTGCTTGTCGTTTTCGAAGTTGACCAAGACCTCCTCTTCCGACATCGAAGTAATGGACAATAAGCAGACTGCCTGGATTAACACCCTTGCGGAGGCACATAACATTGGAGTGTTCCTGTCACTCATTGACATCAGATTCTCCAAGGCCGGCTTATGGAGGATCTTGAGGATGGGATCAACGTTCTCGAGGTATCTATGCAAGCAGACCCGCCGCTGTGTAACGCTCAGCAGCGGAGCACGCAAAGTCGTGGGCGAGAGATTGAGTGGAAAGCCGTTTGGGCTACTCTCTGGCTTTGGCTTATCGAATGACGAGACGTGGAACGAAGAAGCCATAGTCCCACCGACGGAGGTCGGGGTTTTGAGGAAAACCTTGCCAGCACACTCTTCCTCGAGCTTCTTCCAATACTCGTCATCCTCATCCTGGTCTTCGTCCGTATCTTCCTGATGTGATGCAGACGCATTAGTAGAAGAAGGTGATGGATGAGGCTGGCCGCTGGCACTTGTTGGCGTCATGCCGTGAGTTCCGCCAGCCTGATCTTGTAGCTGTTCGTAGGGGAACTTCTGTGGGTCGAAAACACCGTCCCCAACCCCGTCCATCTGCGGAAACTGGGGGCGGTCGTTCAGGAGCGCCTCGAGACGACCAACCCGGTCAAATATGTCGGCACCACTCTTGTCATTGCTGACAGAACGGGACGTTGCCTTCTTAGGCCTCCGGACTGTCCGGACCTGGGGAGGATAGGAGCAGGCAATGCCTGCGATGGTACAGTTGCGGCAGGGCTGGATCTTGGCACACTTGATCTTGCGTTTCCGGCAAGTCCAGCATGCGGTCTTGAATTTTGCGACGGGAGTGAGCATAGCTACCTCGGCTACTTGGAACGGCCTCGAGATGATGTCGTCTTACACCAACTTCACAAGTGTGTTGATACAGATTTGAGGATTCTATTAGGGACGCTGCACCGTATAAAGGTCGCGATATCAAATATCAGCCACTACGCTCCACAAGCCGCCCAGCCGAGAATTACCCCTCCACTCACCCAAGATAAGAAAAGCCAACGAGTCATAAGAGAACTAACTAGCTTTAGCGATCGCTTGTCCCACTCCCCCAGTCGACTGTCAATACTGTGGCGAAATAGGATTTGGGGCTTTTGAATCTTTCCGTATTGGGTGTTGGGACCGACCTACAAGATTTGGAGGACCAATCGCATGGAATGCAATCATCAGGCTCTCGCCATCAAAAGCAGCACGCTCTTGCTAACATTTAGCTTCAGAATGCCCTCGGAGGGGTTTGGTGTTGCCTCCAACGATAGGTTCCATGCGTGCTTCACGTACGTGTACATGCACACACACACACACACACACACACACACACACAATGGCTTTCGGCTAGTTTCATGAGAATGGTATTCATAGCTACGCTTATGCTCTGCCTTTGGGCTCGACCATCTGCTGCAATCTTTGGCCTGCTGGTGATCAACTCGCTGCTGAGACAAGCGACATTCCATAGCACACCCGAGCTACGCAAGCTACGCTACGCTGATAGAAGCTACCCGGGCCAGCTCGCCAGGGACGAAGACTGAACTATCTATCTTATCTCATTCGAACCCCCCCAGAGAGGGAAGGGGGGGGATCCCAAGCCTCGTGTTAGCGCTCATGGCCCCTGCCAAATCGACGGCCTTGTCGGTGTTCTCGGCATTGTCGGTGTTCTCGCTCCCAATATTCCCCAGCTGCACCACCCACTAGCACAGGAGTATTCCTAATCATAGCTAGCTGGCACTGGCTCTAGGCCTCTGGCTCCACCGCGACCGCCGCCTCGGCCTCGACCTCGATAAGAAACTCGCTGGATGCAAGCGCAGCAACGCCAATGAGCGAGCTGGGCGGAGCATGGGCGCCGGCCCCCTCCTCGCCCTCACCTTCGCCCGGACTGAAAAAAGCTGTGATGACCTCGACCAAGTCTCCGCGCAGCGAGGGCACCAGCCCGACCACGAAAATAGTGATCTTGGTTATGTCGCGTGGCGTCGCCCCGCCGGCCTTGAGGCATGCGGCCAGGTTGGAGAAGGCGTTCTCCGCCTGCTCCCGGAATGATGCCGGGACAGGTCCCGGGGGCGAGCATGACGGTGACGGTGGCGTGCCGACCTGCCCGGCGGTGCGGAGGAGGTGCAGCACCGGTTTGTGCGGCGGGAAGGGCACAATTGAGAGGTCCGAGTAGGTGGTCGCGAGGCGCACAATGTCGCTACGGTTGATGGTGCTCACGATCGGCGGTGCCATGGTAAGTGGTTAGTCGGGTGGCCAGAGAGGACCGCAGTACTATGGCAGTACAGTAGTCTAGTGACAGTAATAGTAATAGGAACAGCAGTAGTGACCCATTGGCTTCTTCTTATCAAACAAGCCCTCCATATGTTTCATGCTCTAGGGCCGAGATCAAACAGGAGCATGCCTTGTCCCGTAACAGATAAGCAAGCCCTGGACATTGGCGCCACGGCTGGCCTTTTGCCCCGAGAGCGCCTATCTGTCGGCGGAGCTTGCTAACGGGGAAGCTCTGGGCAAAGCATGACGCGCTAGCGCTATCCTCGGTATTGCGCTCGGTGACACAGGTCTTCGACATCGTTCAGCATCCGGAACCCTGAGAATTATCCATGCTGGGCGTTATCTACACTCGACGGAGTCAAGTGCTGGGGTTTGATTATCGCTGAGGATGGCGTTCCTAGGCCATTATGTATAAGAAAGCACCACAACAATATAGGTGGCTCTTTTTCAGATTCGACTCTCTCCAGAGACAGCACCATACCAAGGCTGTTAGGACTGGCCATCTTGTCTCTCCTTCTATCTTGCCTTATATACGTGTATCATATTCTCTGAAAACCCATAATGGCAGCCGACAAGAAAGCTGTCGAGGAAATTGGCCATGATCCAGCAAGAGACAACCAGTCGCTTGGAGCCGGCGCCTCGGAGAAGTATGAGGACGCCATCAACCGCGAGTTTTATGGCAGCTCTATCTCGGACTCCTACCGCCTGAAGTCTGAGTTGATCGGCCAGTGCATGGAGGAAATTGGCATGGGCTCTTTCCAATGGGTTCTCTTTGTGGTTACTGGCTTCGGTGGCATGATCGACAATTTGTAAGTCTTGCTTCCCCTCTCTACTGAGCTGCAAACCACAGACCACAGACCTAACCATTGAGTCATGCTCAGCTGGTCTCAAGGCATCGGCACCATCCAACCCCTCGTGCGGCTGGAGTTCGCGGATGTGACACGTGTGACATTCAGCTCCATTGCCTACAATGCAGGCCTCATCTTTGGCGCATCCTTCTGGGGCATTTCAGCCGACTACATAGGCCGCAAGCCTGCGTTCAATGCCACCATTCTCATCGGTGGCATCTTCGCTTTGGCCATGGGTGGAATCAACAACTTTATTGGCTTCTGCGTCCTGTGGTCTTTCATCGGCACCGCTGCCGGCGGTAATGTGCCGGTCGATAATATGCTCTTCCTCGAGTTTGTGCCGGGTTCCAGCCAGTATCTCCTGACCGCCCTTTCCACATGGTGGATCGTTGGCCAGCTTGTTGTATCATTGATCGGATGGGTGTTTATTGCCAACTTTGGTTGTCCGTCAAATGCTACGCCGGAGACTTGCCATAAAGAGGACAATATGGGCTGGTAGGAAATCTCGCCTATCCTTGACTGCCGGCTCTGCAAACTGACCTGTTGTAGGCGATATATCATGTTTACTTTAGGGGCAATTACGCTTGCATTCTGCTTTCTCCGCATGATATTTTTCAGGATGCCCGAGTCCCCTCGCTACCTGATCTCAAGGCATCGTGACGCTGATGCAGTTCAGGCTGTTAATTATGTCGCACGTTACAACGGCAAGCCCGAGCCTCTCACTCTGGAGATGCTCCAGCAGATTGACCGTGATCTCGGCATTATAGTCAACCCCGAGGAGGCGGCCCAACATAAACCATCCTGGGTGCAAGTTGCTAGGGAGAGCTTCGCCGACTTCCAGTCCTCCAACTTCAAAACCCTCTTCGCTACACGCAAGCTTGCGCAACACACAAGCGTCCTTTGGCTGATCTGGCTGATGATTGGTATTGCATACCCTTTGTATTTCAACTTTTTGCCGACATATCTCGCGCAGAAGTTTACGGACAACTCCTATACATCTCTAAGCCTCACGTACCGTAATTATTGCATTCAGTCGGCCGTGGGCTGTGTTGGCCCGATGCTGGCAGCCCTTCTGATTCAAACTCGACTGGGTCGGCGCTACATCATGGCCATTGCCGCTGTGGCGACGGGTATCTTTTTGATGGCATATACAACCGCGCGTTCGTCAGCATCTAGCCTAGCTTTCTCATGCGTCCTCGGATTCGTGGGCAATCTTGGTAAGCAATCTTCTCTAGATATTACCATCTCTATCATCATAGGCCGCTGACAATTATCGTTGTTCCACGGTATAGAATATTCCATTCTCTTCGCCTTTACTCCGGAGTCTTTCCCCGCGGCTCACAGGGGTCTAGCTAGTGGTTTCGCCGCCGCACTGCTAAGATTCGGTGGCTTGTGTGCGAGCTTGATCGGGACTTACACAAATTGGAGTGTCGTCCCCATCTATGTAGCTGGCGCCATGTGGATGTGCGCTGGATTGCTCACGCTTGCGCTTCCGTTTGAGACACACCATCACGCTGCCATCTAGTTAGGTTGGAGAATGCGGAGCAGTCAAGGAAGTCTCGTCAAGCTGCCGGTGATGAGCAACATACTATGGGCGTGGTTAGAATAGGTTTAATATTTGAATCGATCTTCAGGACGTGTATGATCTCGCGGTCACGGTGTCTTTAGCTACAGTTTGATAGATGACGAAGAGCAATGGCCCTTTAATGTTTCAATCAAGTTCTTCTCCAACAACACAAGCTACTGTTTTAATTCCTGGAACACTGAGGATGAGAGATCTTGACCACACTCAAGTCATCTTAATGGAAATTGGCGATGTAGGAGGCATCACCATGTCACGTCTAATTAGGAATCAAATGCTGCTCTCCATCTATCATGTATGATATATTGTCATGGAGCAGCAACAGCCCGTTGCAACACGGTTTTTTGGGCTCTCCACGGAACAAGCATGCAATTGACACACATTCAAGGACGACCCAACCAAGTGTACCGCTTGCATTCGCTTTTTATTTCTATATACTTGTATAACCATGAGAAGTACGCGGTAGTAATCGGCATAGACACACTCCATATACACTTTGTCAAATTGCAAGAGGCTACTTTGTCCGCAGTGCTTCTTTACCCAATGTAATAACGATTGAGAATCGTATAAATGCTGTATCCGGACTTAATCTAAAGACTAGCAAATCTCTCCTCGATCTCCCTCTCCCTCCATGCGATGGAAGCCGTGAAGTCCGGATTGCGGAATTTCTGCGTCCATTTTCCCTGGGGCATCGGCTTGCCGTCGACAAACTTGATGTCGTAGTTGACCAGGATGTGTACGAGCAGCAGCTTCAAGAGCACCGAGGCGAAATGGCGGCCGGGACAAGCGTGACGACCAAGCCCGAATAAAAGGTTTTCGGAGCTGGCCTGGGCGAATGTGTATTGGCTCGCCATTTCCGGCTGGGCGCGCATCTTGGCGAAGCGGAAGGCATCAAACTTGGCGGCGTTGGGAAAGATGTCGTCGTCTATTTGACGACCGTGGGAAATAATGCCGATGGAGGTACCGCGGGGTATAAGTGTGCCGTCGCTTAGTCGGTAGTCCTGGATGGCTAGACGCTCCATTTTGACTGGCAAGAAGTCGATGATTAGTAGGCTCCTTATATACAGCATGTAGTGAGTATGGTAGTACTTACCAGCACTCATGGGAGTCAGACGTGCGGACTCGCGGATGAAGCTATCTAGCTTTATTAGATTTTCCACGTTTGCCTTTGTCCACACACTACCTTGGGGCTTGCTACCAAAAACCTCGGCGATCTCAGTGCGTAGTTCTTCGTGGATATCGGGGTGCCGGCATAAGTCAAAGATACACTCTGTCAGGGTGACGGCAGGCGCGTGAATGGCTGTCACGTTGATGTGAAGCATGCGCTGGAGAAGAATTTCAGGATCTCTCTTATCTGCAGGGGAGATTTCTAGAAGCCATTGCACTGATTATAGATATATCAGTCAGTTATGGAGGAAGAGAATCGTCTTTGTTAGACATAAGGTCACTCACAAGCATCATTTGGCATATCTTTCGCGTCATGCCGGTTCTCCATAATTGACAACCTCTCTTTAATGATAGGGACGAGACATTTCCGTGCAATCTGCTGCTGCTTCATGTGGTCGGTCATGAAATACATCATCAAGGGCTTGAGCAGGCTTGGCATATTGCGCAGCATGGCAGCCGAGTCGAAAGTCGCCTTTGTGAATGCACCAGAATAGAAGAGGAATTCATCGTTCCTGCAGAGGTCCGGACCGACCATCATCCTATTCGAAACGCGCGTGACCACCTTAGAAGCTAAAGAGTAGACCTGTGCCTCTGTCCATTCTGAGGGCTTGCCGAGATCAAGAGCAAATGCTCGCTTGGTCTCGTCCTCGAGGTCGGGGATAATGCGTGGCAAATTTTGTGTAAGACTCTTTCGAACGACATCGAAGTGGTACAGATCTTGCTCGAGCGCCGGATGGAAAGTATACTTTAGTTGAAAGATGATGTTCGCGGCGTCTACCTGACTGATATGTGTTTCGGGGGCTTTTCGGAGCTCCTCGAGGAACTTAGGGGCTGCGATAAAATACACCTGCTTTGGTGTTCGTAGAAGAAAATGCTTTCCCCGTTTGGAATACTGTACTCATTCGGAAGGTTAGCTACGTGAATGCACCTAAAGTAGAATGAAGTGCTGGCTATTAACCTCTCGATACCCCTTCAATATTGCATTGAGACTGTCGGCAAGAAACGCTTTCACGTCATCCGCATTGCCCGCCTTTCCAGGCTTGGCACTTATACGAAGAAACTCGACATCAGGCAAGCGTTCTTTCTTCCGAAAGATAACGGCGCTCGACACAATGATGACTAGGAGGAATACCCAATGGTACGTTCGTGGTAAGTCTAGCTCCATAGCGATAAAGAGCTTGTGGTATGGCAGAAGTATTTTTTGACTGTACTGTTTTCTGTAGAGCGAGAATCTGTTGTAATTGTATACCATAAGATGACTTGCAACGATCAACTTAAATGAGGCTTGATGAGGTGATCTATCGCCTAAGTCGAGCGATGTGGTGTTGATTGAAATTTTTGGATCCGCTCAGTCTTTCAGACAACGAAGCAAATCTTATGCATACAAAGCTATCTGGACCTAGCCCTGAAAGTATTTTCTTAGAATGTACTACATGTAACTTCACGAGGCCGAGGCCGATCGACATCTTTGCTGAAACGTCCGATTTTGCAAATGCTTATCGCAGCGGTGCCCCAGTATTACGCTAAATTATTATCCGACTTTCAGGGTATGATGTGGAGCCTAGTCAGAAGCATCCGCACGCCGAGAGGTGCGAGAACGCCGGCCGCCATAGCGACGGTCGGTAACTAGACCGGCAGCCATGAACACGGTAGACTCGGCGCTCAAAACACTGTATCTACAGGCCCGGCCAGAATAGTGATCTAGGCCTCTCTTGGGTATGTTTCCGCAGAGTCGCTAATATGACGCGCTTATCTAACAATTCCTAAGTAAAATGTATGCATGCGACCTTGATGCTTCACGTGTGTCACCTTCACAGAAAAGCAGGATTGGTATGACAAGACGTAGACGTTAGTTCGTCCCAACGTAAGGAAAAATCTTGTGCATTGATTAATTCAAAATTAATATGGCGTCCTCAAACAACCCGTTCGTCAGATTCTCGGGGCGGAGAAGCGTGGTGCACAGCACCAAGGGCATCGTGGCATGCACGCAGCCCCTTGCTGCAGAGGCAGGTCAGCGCATCCTCAAGTTAGGAGGCAACGCGGCAGTAAGTACTACCACAAATAGAGATGCAAAATGTGTAGTAGCCGATAATAAATGTTTGTAGGATGCTGCAATCGCAGTCGGTAGGTTTCATAATTCACTTGGCCTTCATGGGAGATCTCAAACCAACCCGCCATTCTAGCTGCCGCCATGAATATGACGGAACCAGCGTCGACGGGCCTCGGCGGAGACATGTTTTGCCTTTACTTTGATGCCAAAACGAAGGAAATCCATGCGTTGAATGGCTCTGGGCGAAGCGCTAAGAACTCGACGTTGGAGCAAATCAAGGCGGATTTAAATCTGCCTAAATCAGCTGGGGGCAAGATCCCGATTACCAGTCCTCTATCAATCACCGTTCCAGGTGCTCCTGCCGGATGGGTTGATGCGTTTGAGAAGTTTGGCAGTGGTAGATTATCACTGGAGCAAGTTCTCATGCCTGCGATTGAGTTGGGCGAGCAGGGCTTCCCTGTTAGCGAAATATCTGCCAGGATGGTAAGTATGCTTGAGGAAAGCAGTATCGGTCAAAGCCAAGTCACTGACGAAAGTATCTTAGTGGCAAAATGGGGAAGCAGAACTCAAGCAAGCATCTCCAAATTTCCAGGAAATGTTGAAGTACGATGACAAAGCTGAAAACTCGGCCCGAGCGCCTATGGCTGGGGAGATTTTGAAAAATCCTACTCTCGCACAGAGCTTTAGAACGCTTGCCACTGAAGGAAAGAAGGGCTTCTACACTGGTCGCATAGCGCAGGCTATAGTTGATATTGTGAAGTCCAAAGGCGGCTATTTGGAACTATCCGATTTCGAGGACCATCTAACATATGGCACGCAGAAGACTCAGCCCGTATCTTTGAAGTTTCGAGGTCAAGGAGTGAGAAACCGGGCAACCAGAAACTCAGAAGATCATTTCTTCGAACTCTGGGAACATCCACCCAACGGCCAAGGTATTGTGGCCCTAATGGCCTTGGGTATCTTGGAAGAGCTCGAACGAAATGGCGAGATTCCCACCTTTACTACCGATGACCACAACACTGCCCCATATCTACATGCCTTGATAGAGTCCCTCCGCATTGCCTTTGCCGATGCGACTTGGTGGATTACAGATCCAGAACACAGCTCTGTCTCCCCCGCGCACTTGGTCTCGCGTGAATACCTCGCCAAGCGCGCCAAACTCTTTAACAAGGCTGCGGCCGGTACCCATGGGAAAGGCCAGCCGGGTCCAAGCCCGGCGCAAAACCACAGCGACACAGTGTACTTCGCTGTTACCGATGCCGAGGGCAACGGTATGAGCTTCATCAACTCCATTTTCCGTGAGTTTGGCTCTGCTATCATCCCCCAGGGCTGCGGCTTCACGTTACAAAACCGCGGTAGCAACTTTGATCTGGGGCCAGCGGATCACCCTAATATTTACGCCGGCGGCAAGCGACCCTATCATACAATCATCCCTGGCCTAATCACGACGGGTGAGGGTACAGAGCGCCAGCTCGATACCGTATACGGCGTTATGGGAGGTCTGATGCAGCCGCAGGGCCATGTGCAACTGCTGCTCAACATGGAGGTCTTCGGCATGAACCCGCAGGAGGCACTCGATGCGCCACGCGTTTGTATCGCCGGCTTCGCGGCTCCTGGAGGTGACAAGGACATGGGCACCATCTGGATTGAGGAGGGCATCAGTGAGGAGGTACTACAGCAGCTCCGAGCTATGGGCCATGACGCGCGCCTGCTTCAAGGCTGGAATCGAAACTGGTTTGGCCGTGGACAAGTTGTGCGTCGGCGGGTAGATGAGATGACAGGTCAGGCAGTATATAGCGGAGCAAGTGATTATCGTGGAGATGGGTGTGCGTTTCCCGCTTAAACGGTCTTGGAAGCTTTGTTTTGTGTCTAGAAACGTCCCGATGACGGCACATTCGAATAATACCACAGCAGTAGATTTACACCTTGAACTGGATAGCCATGTCTATTCCCGAGCAGTTGGATACTCACGTGAGCTACAAACTGAGTCAGAACAAACAGTTCAGTATTGGCGGGCGATGAATCACGCGTTGCTAATGTACAATTGGCAGAACCACCCGATATATGGTGTATCAACTCATGGGACATGGGAAATATGATCTGGCGTGTCATTCTTTCAGGATAAAGATTTCTATTATAAATGTGATTTGAACCGCGATTTTATTCTCTAAGGTTCTCAGAAAGGACTACGTCTCTAAGTCTCGGCGTAGCTCGTTCTCAACAAGCCCAAATTTTCATGGAGAGCCCTGTCGGTCAGAGCAGTCAAGTAAGCATCATCGTCGTCTCCGGCATGATGTTCCACCCATGACCAAGCAGGCACAATGAACACGTCTTTGGGCTCCCAGCTGATTGTCTTCTCCCCAGTGGGTGCCCTGATTTTGGTAGATCCCCGACCGGACTGTACAATATAGATGAATGACACGGTCTCCCGTGGCAGGGAGATGACGTGACCCTTCTTGATGCGTTCTGCCTGGGCAGCAATGGTCTTCGAGAAGTGGTTGCCATTGGTGAGGTAGTGGTAGACGGCGTGGGCTGTGTCCTGCGAGTTAAGTGCCTTCTGTGCTTCTGTCCATGGAAAGTGAAATGGACTGCCAGTGACGGGACTATTAAGATGAATTTAGGAGTTAGCTGTTAGTTAAGTCCGGATTCTGAAGCTCTGCTTACAGATCAGGCACCTTAGGTGTTGGGTAAAGCTCAAGGAAGTTGACACGAGCGTATAAGTGTAGGGGAATGTCAAGGCAGTCAACCCAAAATGTCGGGATGTCGCCGTCATTACCATGATAATGCCATTGCCAGGATGGTGTAAGTACTAGGTCACCAGGATTCAGATAAATCCTGTGCCCGGCCACCGAGGTGAAGCCTTTGTTGCTCTCGAGGATCAGTCGCACTGCGTATGCCATGTGTCTGTGCGCGGGAGCCGTCTCGTGCGGCAGGACTGTCTGGAAACCAGCATATAGCGAGTCTGTTGTATAAGGCGATGGACCACTCCCAGAAGCTGCTATCAATTAGAACGCTAGTCTTCTTTTCTAGCCAGAGCACAAAGATGCCTGAATATTGACAAAGGAGCGCTTACGAAAGCCAGGGTTTACCATCATGAGAGCCCTCCGCTCTGCCATCTCCTCAGGGACCATGCCGGCGGAATCCATCATGATCTTGCGCATTTCCTTCCAGCGCCAGATGGTGGGTACAGCACGGGGATTGGGGACCAGCTTGGAGACCTTGTCCGTGACTGTCCACATAGGGTATGAGTTGTGACTTTTGCAGACGTCCATTATCATGTCCGTGGCCTCTTGGTCCACCATCTCTGCCTGGGAAGTCATCGTGCTCACGGTGCTGGTAGCCCGAGAAAGTGTAGTTTAGAAGATTCGACGAGTGTATAGAGACGAATTCTTCGAGAGTCCACTCTCCGACGCGTAGTCAATAGGCTTTGAGGTATATGGTTACTATGCTACGGTGCTCTCCTGTTGTTACAGAGCTATTGCCTAGCTTTTGCTACCAGAGATCAGCAGAAAGTCTTGATTGTTCTAGGCTAGACATCATGTTATCGAAGGCCCGATTTCGATTCAGTGCTGGGGCCAGAGCCAGTTCGGCATGGGGCTGTAGTCGGTGTTGTCGGCGTTTTCGGCGTCCGCGCATTGGCCAATCTTACGCTATCATCCCGCAAGCCGGTTACCGCGTGGGTGATGACACAACACAATACCACATATCGCAAGTTTCAATATAGCGCATGCGTCGATTGTTGTTTCCATTAGACGAACAGTGGGGTTTATGTCACAGGTATCTTCTGGTCGTTTATAGTTTCCAGTCATCCCCCATAGAGGCTATTCTATGTCCATGTCTACGAATTATCGAACCCCCGGTTCACTTATCAACAAATACTTGAATGAATATGGCAAACGAATTGAAGGTCATCATCATTGGTGCAGGTACTGGAACAGGAGAGCGAAATGGTTTGAGGCCAATAGACTGACTATCTGGACAGGTGTCACTGGTTTATCTCTTGCCCATGGCCTAGACAAGGTAGGTTCAAGACTTTAGTGATGTAGTAGCAATTACTAATCCGTCTATTTCCCAACAGCAAGGAATACCATATGAGATCTTCGAGAAGCGATCCTCCGATGCGCCCCAGCGCGACTGGGGAATCACGGTCCACTGGGCAGTCGAGTTTCTGGAGTTATATCCAGAAAATATGGGGGCACGCCTGAAGACAGCGCAGGTGGTCCAGAGTAGGGCAGTGAAACCAGAGGAATTTGTTCAGTTTCACAACGGCCAGACTGGTGAAATCATCAAAGAGATTCCCCTAGGACCAGCTAGGCGCTTCAGCCATAGAAAGATCAGAGCTTTGCTCACCGAAGGCATCGATATTAAGGTCAGCGATGATCTTCAGTCGAGACTTCGATATTGAAGCTGATGTGAAAATCTTTTATTAGCACGAGAAGGTCATGGAAACCATTGTCCCATCGGATGACGGCGTGGAGGTTGTCTTCAAGGACGGCACCCGCGTGAAAGGCTCGGTCGTCATTGGTTGCGATGGCAGCAACTCTTCAACGAGGCAATGGCTCTTCGATTACAGTGACGAGGGCAAATGGAACCCGTTACCCGGGCTCATCCTCAACAACTTCTGGATGAAGTTCACCAGAGAGCAGGCTATCAAATGCAAGGCCTCACTTGGGGCTTTTCTTGACATTGCAATCCATCCTAACGGGTCATACTATGGCCTGATACGTAAGACACTTGTTACTCGCATCGATATTACAAACTAACGATTATATTGTAGCGCTTGACATCGAAGAGACGGCGGACCCTGCCGACTGGAAGTTCCAGGTCTTCATGGGGTTACCGTCCGACATCAAGCCGGAGGATGATTCACCCCAGAAGCGGTGGGAACTGGTTAAAGAAGCTGGGAAGCCATTCGTTGAACCTTTCCGATCAGCTATCGAGTGGATGCCGGAGGGTACATATATAAGTCCTGACCGCTATGGGACCTGGGAGACACGGAAATGGAACCACCGTAATGGCCAGGTGCTCCTCGCTGGAGATTCGGCTCACTCTATGACTGCTCGTACGTCACCGAAAATGATTTGATTATCTCTAGATTGTTCTAATGAAAGGCATAAAGATCGCGCGCAGGGCGTGAATCACTCACTGCAAGACGTGTTAAACATCATCAAGGGTTTGAAGGATATTTCAGTAGGTAAGACGACTTTGAAGGATTTTGCTGACAACTACGTGGATGAGGTGGCCGAGCGAGGTTCTCAGGAAGTCCGAATGTCGTTGGAGCAGGGTCGTGCTGTTCACAATTGGGAGTTGTCAAAGACGATGCCGATTTTGAGGGTTGGCACTACACCTTTACACATGGAGCAGTCCATTGTACCTCTGCCTACTTGAGATATCTACATTCATCATAAAGATTCTGTAAATCTTCAAAGAGCCTCTTGATTGTTGTATTCGTATCGTCTCATAAAGCTTGATTTACTTATAGGAAGACTTTGGACTGACCAACTACTATATTTTGGAAGCATGGAGACAATTTATAAGCTTTATATTCTTGATAATGCAAAGGCTTTTCCAGAACTCTGTCTCTGGTTAGTTTATGGCACCAACATTTCTTGTTCCAGCAGTTTCCACATGCATCAAACGCCCCAGTGTTATATGTAGCCAGGAATTACATCAATACTAAGAATTTAGAGATCTACAATACTGCCATTTTCCTCTAGAGCTCCATGAGTGTTCGCAAAGACAGGGTCGAAGCACACCGCTTCGAGTTATTTGCCTAACACTTAATCCGTACTACAGCGTGTGCGAGACCCTTTCATCATTTCCTCGTCGAAACCGTATACAATCGCGAAGGCGACGTTGGAGGGTACATGTAACACTACATGTGCTTCAGCAGATGCACCTCTATAATATGGCTGCTGAGTTAGGCACATACCCTTGGGAACCGATGCTGCGGATCTGGTCTGTCTAGTCTTGCAAATCTGGCAGTCGTTTTTTCTTTACATTAGCACCACAGGGCGATGAGGCTCCCAGTCACATGATTCTAAATATATCGATCTCCATTTCAACCGCCTTTTGGGAGCCAGAAGAAGTTATGGCCCTAAGGAAAAAACGGGAACGAGTACATTTATGGTTATTAAGGCGCTTCTCGGCGAGAAACATTCTTTCATATACGACCCTAAAACCTCTTCGGGGGTGCTATTCTAGAAATGCGTCTACTACGAGGGGCTAGGCTAAGGAAGAGTGTTCCCGATATTCGATAAATGGACTACCTCGTCTAGGCTGAGGAACATCGTATCGCAGGGCCGCCGGCCTAGATCGCCCGGGGGGATATATCAGCTTCTGTCATACTGTCCACACAGCTGAATAAATATGTAATCCGAGATAAGATAGCCTTTTAAGGTAAATTTAGGATCGTCAAGTCTACCGTATATACTATCCCATGATTCGATTTCAGACTGCTTCCGGGCTCGAAATCAGCCATGCCCAGTGATAAACTAGCTGAGTAGTCATCATCTCGCATAGTCGCATGGCCAAGATCGAGGACGTGAGGCCGGGGCAGATCGTATTTGCTATTACCTCTCATATGGTTCTCTGGGGCACCTTTGATCTTTCCTGAAGCTTGAGAGTGCTTAAACGCTGGTTTCCTTTCAACCAAGGCTTGGAGTGTCTCATAGCGATTGGCATGAGTTATGAAATGTTAGAAGCGTTGGGTTAGCGGGTGCATATGACCCTGGAACGCCAGGCGCGGAGTATAATAGGGTTTCGAGGTTCGAGTATGATAGCAGACAATCAACTGGGAGGCCTGAGAATATGTTCCCGGTACCACGGCCAGTATATCGACTTTACGAATGTAGCGAGCCTCTAAATGCCGCAAATTATCTTATAGACGCTGATCAGGTTATAAGTCGATTTAAACGGATACTTGTTTCTAAGGATTATCTTCTTTACTTCTCTCGTCGTCGTCACAAAGGCCTAGTTATATCTTTATATTGTAACGGGTTAAATCCACATGGTGAAAATATGCATGTCTGGTTGCACTAACCCCGGCGGCAAAGACGCAAAAGGTAACAAATTGACTGAGCGACAGTCTCAGTCAAATCCAGCCACCATAAGCACACTACAGGCTGCTATCTATAACGTCAAAGAGTCAAAGGCAGTGCCTTGACCGACTAGGTTAGGTAGTACCTCAAGCTATCGCAACGTTAGGACCTTCTTCTATAGTCTGAGGCATATGGCTCTATCGAGTCGAAATTGGTAGAGACGGAGAGATAGGCTTTGACAAGACCAATGGGCCTACGACTAGCCTTAGACGTTCTTAGATTCGTGATTTCTTCTTAGTCGGTTAGGCCGACTATAAGGGATTCGCCTCAGGAGTAGGACTATAGGAAAGCCACAAGCTAATTTCAGATCTAAACTTCATCAGCGAGCTAATTTACTGTTACGTCAGTCTCAGATATATAGATATATGAGTATATTAGCGGATCGTTGGCTACCCTATGGTGGTCCTCTTTCTTGTATCTCGTTGGCTTAGGCCTGGTAGGTTTATTTACTTTCGAGGGGCGGCACGATTAGTTAAGCTTTGATCTCTATCGGGTCGGGTCGGCCTGACAAGTTGCGGTCAGCCCATAAATATATTCAACATCTGAAACTCAAAATGGAGGGGTATCGATACTACTAGAAACAGAATGTTAAGATCATACGATTATGCGAAACGATAGTTCTGGGACATCTATAAAATAAAGGGGGCGATAAATAGGAATTAGAAAATATTTTTCTCTTAGCTCTTCATAGATACCTACCGCAGCTTAACGACTAGCTGCCCAAGAGAGCAGCGTTTAGCCAGTAATAACTGGCCTATCGACCTCGACCTGACCATCTCGGCCCATGACAAACCCATAGATCTCAATCTCAACATTCTTCCATAGTCAATTATATCGACAAGCTCTGAAGCCATCAGTCTCAAGTATGTAGTCAGTGAATAACTCATAATCGACGTCACACAGAGAATCACAATACAGATACTTCCGGATCTTATTCACCAAGGGGATAGTCCTAAGATCTCTCAATATCTTCTCAAGCTAGTAAGGCGCCTCCGTTCTTGCAACTTCACTTACTCTTCGAATCAACCCCCAATATCGCTGACAGTCCAGGTCTTATAGACTGATGGCTCTGCCGAGTTTCCACAGATGCCCCTTAGTCGGTATATCGTAGACCGCGAGAGATAGATCAACAAATTGACACCCTTTATTAAAAGACAAGCTACACTCATTCAATAGAGAATCGGAGCCACTAAAGGACTGATCGCTAGGAAATTCATCCACTATCTATAATAACAAATAATAGTTTTTTCATTCCAGAGGATCTCCCCATGGTAAAGACAGATAGCCAGTATCGAGAGACTCAGGGCCTGACCCTTCTCGGCTCATGAATACCCCAACGCATGCGATATCGCCAACAATTGGGGCAATGATGGCAAGACGATCCCAAGGCTCTGTCACTTGATTGTCCCGATATCCGATACGATGGCTGGACACTTATATCTGTACTTTTCCGTATACTTTCCTGCTGCCGCAAGCACCTGTTCCATTGCATCGTCTTTACTCGCATTCATTGTTAGAATTTCAAAAACCAGACAGAGTCTCATGGCCCCGTAATGACGAAAGAGACAGATAGTTTCCCATTAATATCGTTGAAAAGCTTTACGCCGTGAGAGCGTTTCTACTGTTCCAGAAAGGATAGATGGGGTATCAACAAAGACGAGCCAACATCTCATTGTTCCTCGATATATTCATATATCGATACTAACGTCTAGGATCCCACCGGAAACGGACCAGATCAGATTCATGATGTGGCACTGATGTACGACAGCAACAAAACGTCCCGAGCCGCTTCAGAACAAACGCAGGTTGGGCATATTTTCGCTACCCAAATATCGCTTTCCGGGGAATCTAGACCCACTATTCTATCGAATATATTTGCTGCGTATAGGAGGCCGAGGTACTTCTTACGAAGTAGTAGTAAGGGAGAAGAATGATATATCTTGTGAAGTAGAAGGGTTTTGCTGACAATAATAATATGGGGGAGAGACTTACCAAGGTAAGTGACGAGCTCATCAGGAGATTTGAGGACGACGACTACCAGGCGTACAGAGGAAACTATCTGGGAGTGAAAATACTTGACAAACGGATGCGTCACGAAAGGATAGAGTATTATGGGAGATGAAAAGGTCGTCTCCGTAACGGAATCTTTGGGGAAAAGAATCGACGATTAGCCTGGAGCGTGTCAGGGACTTTGGGACAGACACAGCGGACGACTGATAGCACTCCGTAAGGCTTCGGGATCTCGCTATAATTGCACGCCAATCAGAGCCACCACACTGAAGCTTCTTGGGAGGGCGGAGATATGAAGCAATGCCGGCTCGTAGCGAGGCAGCACAACTCCGCGCGACGCGACCAAGATCACCATCTTAGTCGTCAGGCTGGACGCCTCGAGGAGCCGCGCGGCGACTTGATCAAAGTCATCACGGCCTTCTTCAGTGTTGGTGGTGGTCAACCACATGCACCGCCCAGCTTGTTGATTGGGGTGGCTGCACTAGCGTCTCCCGACTTTCTTATCGAGGTCGAAGCCGAGGCCGCGGTGGCAGTAGTAGGCCCGCGCGGCTAAGAAAGCTGTTCTGGCGTTTCGGCTCTTGGCACACTGAGAAGGCCCGAGAGGAGCGAGAACACCGAGAGTGGCGAGATAGCCCGTTAGATAAGGCATGAGCTCGGAAATGATTATGTATCTGGTAGATAAGGAATCTAGTCGATCGGGGTATGAATGAAGTAATAACTGGACATAATGGATAGCCTGGAATGCAATGAGACCGTGTTCACAGGCCGAGACTCGTCGTCGGTGGGTAGGTACCTATCGTAAGCCCCTCATGGCGCTATTCAAACCAATAAAGGACACGGAAGCCAAATCTGTCATCCATCTTTCAAAAGGGAACAATGGAGAAGAAAACAAGTTCTACAATCTGTTCATTATTTGCCGACTGTTCCTAGTCTGTGTCTATGCCCGACATTTATCATATACCACCTAAGTACCCGAATAGTAAGAAGGAAAAAAGCCTCTTCCTCCCCCCTCTTGCATTGCATCCACAATCGATGCACTTCACTTCCACGTAGATCAGCCAATTTTGAAGATATCTACAAGCAATCTGCCCAAACACTTAGATATGAAGTAGTCAATTTCACGAAGACCAATAGCCTATCAGTGGTTTCACGACGTTCTCTTTACTCAGACTAGGCCAGGCGATAAGTCTGACGCTCGCTGATTGATTTTGAATCGTCACAACAGCCATGCCTCTATAAGTTATAGATACTTTAATACGGCCATTAGTTACAAGGAATTGGTTCAGGCCTGCTAACCTATGCTAGGATGAGCTTAATGAGCACCTCTTTCTAAAAACCCTTCATCAATGATAACTTCAATGCCATCAAAGCTGCATATCGCAAAGAATGATCTCAGTTGGTAGTTCTCCCATGTCTATCGACGGGGCCTGTAACTTGCTAGTGGCAACCCACCGGTCTGGGCGGTCTTGCACGCCATCAACACCAGCTATGAGCGTTCGGTTCTCCAATGTGGTCTATTATGAACATCAGGCCTACATCTGTCCAGACGTATCTAGCTCCCACTGTATAAAGTCACAATCTATTGAAGCCTTATCAATGCCTAGCCCATTATATCACACAATGAAAACCCGTCCGTCCGTCCGCCCTCAAAAAATCCAATCTGATATTCTAACCTTTTAAACCATCATACCGGTCTGCGCGACTTGCCATCGTCGGCCTGTTTAATTCTCCCTCGACGGCGTTCAGCTGGCCGTCTTAGTCGCCTTGGTCCTTAGTTTCATCATCAAAAACACAAGGCCATAAGAGCTGATGCAGAACAGAGCCGTGATTGCAACCTAGAAGCAGAGGTCAGCGTCATAAGAACTGAGAAGCGGGAACTCGGTCCCAAGCGCAAACTACCCACATCTCTCCATCCGTAGTAGCTAGCATTAATATTCAGGCTCTTCATATAATCCGCCCCCGTGCTGTATTCGCAGTAGTCACACGAGGAGGTGCTCCCAGGGTCAGTCACGTAGCCTGCATTGTCTGCCAGGAAATCGGCCATGTAGGCTCCGCAGGTGGTGTTGGCTGGTAGCCGGATGGAAGTGACCTCGTTGGGTTTACACTGGACGTCAGCGTCCCAGATGACAGGCTCCAGAAGGCCGCCCATGAGATAAGTGAAAGGGTTCATCCAGTAGATCCAGTACCGCCAGAAAGTCGGGATCAGTGAGTAAGGAACCACGACGCCACAGAAGCTAATGAGGGCGGCTCCGAGTATAAGCGGATTGGCAAGAGCGGCGAAGTATTGATTCGGAGAGTAGGCGGCGATGGCCTACATGTTGTGTTAGTAAGTTTGACGTGAGAGTGCAAAACAAGAGAAGACAGCTTACCTGGCCGATGGAAGTGTACAGAAACTCGTATACTACATAAGGCGGATCAGCCACTCGTGCTCCGAAATTCCAGCTCATCACCTCGCATGCGATAGACGAGTGGGGACTCACAGATCATTTGAAGGTACACTTGGCCCGAGGCGCTGGCCTTGACCGGAAATCCAGCCGTAAAATACCAGCAGGCGAAGTACACCGTTGCGCAGACGATCAAAATAGGAACCTCCGACATAACCTGCGCGGACACGAACACGAGCCAGTGGTACGTCTTGGACTTCTTCTCGCGGGTTTCGAACAAATCCCTGTTGCTGATGAACAAAGGCTGCAGCTGGTTGATGCAACCCGGGGCGACGAAGACGAAGTTGAACACCGCCATGAGGCGCAGCTGCAGGTCGAAGGACCCGTTGCCGATTTTCCAGAACGTGAAGCCACCGAAGAGCGCGTTGCTTATGTGCAGGAGGATCTTGTTCCATACATAGTCTGGGTTACGCCACAGGGCAACCAGTTGCCGTTGGGTGACGACACGAATCTGATAGAGGATAGGCGTCGCGAAGTCGCTCACCTCATCGTCAGAAATGCTGGCATTTGTGTCTACTACCTCGGTCTTGCGGCTGGCCACTGCAGGAGACGAGCTATGGAGAGAGTCCAGCTCATCCATGACACCTCTGTATTCTTCAGACTCCAGCCACTGCTGTGGCCAGTCGATGTCAGTGCCGAAGCGGCCCTGGACTACATCGACGATATGTTCAGCCGGGTTGACATCCGCACAAGACGGCGCACCGTTACGGGCGAAATAATCGAGTAGGATGCTCGAGTTCTCACCAGTCGGGCCAAAGTAAGTGGTCCTTCCTCCCCTCGCGAGCAATAACAGCACATCGAAATTCTCAAACAGGGTTGCGGACGGCTGGTGGATTGTGCAGATAACAGTCTGGCCTGAGGCGGCGAGTCTCCGCAGGAATCTGCAGATCTGGTAGGCGGACTGGCCGTCGAGGCCAGACGTCGGCTCATCTAGAAATAGCAAGGATGGTTTCGCAACAAGCTCAACGGCTAAAGTCAGCCTTTTCCGCTGCTCAATGGAGAGTCCCTCCCCAGGCGTTCCAATGACGGCGTGTTGCAGTGATGTCAGCTCCAGAAGATCCATGATGCGACGGACATACTCTTGCTTGTCAATGTCCGGGACAGCCATGGGCTGTCGGAGCCGCGCAGAGAAGAGCAAGGCTTCCCAGACGGTAGCAGTCGGCTCGTGTACGTCGTTTTGCTCGCAGTATCCCGTGCTGCGCTGAAAGCTAACGCCCTGCGGCTTACCGTTCACCATGATACTGCCCTCGATCTTGCCGCTATCCTTTCTCTGCGCAAGTACATCCATCAATGTCGTCTTTCCGGCACCGGAGCTGCCCATCAGCGCCACCAGTTGCCCTGGCTTCACGTATCCCGAGACGTTTTGAAGCAGCTGCTTCTCTTGTCCCTCATGGTGTACGAAGTATGAAATGTCCTTGAATGTGAAGACAGTCGAGCCGCCGGAGATATGATCTCCTTCTTGAGGAGAGCTCTGGGTCTCTGCCTTCTCAGCGTCTTTGTCTCTGTTCCGCTGCTGATGGCTTCGACCGCTGTACAGGATCTTGGAGCCGGAACCGCTGTGCAGATTTACCTCAAACGCGATGGCTGTAGAAACGGCGAAAAAGACCCAGAAACCTATAATTATACCGACATTTCTCCAGATATGGCTTGACTTCACCGCGTACCTGAATCCCACGTACTGCTCGCCGTCGATGGTCGGATCGCCTGGTACAGAACCTTGAACCGTGCAGCTGCGGAACTCATTTGTCTGATACGATGGGCCGTAGGGAACATACTGAGGCGCGACACATTCCATCGTGCGACTACCCATTTCGCTGGCCATTACCGCTTCGAAGGCGTATGATGGAGGGTTGATCCAAGCGATCCAGCGGAACCACGGATGCATGCTTGTGACGGGAATAAGGTAACCTGTCAGACACAAGTAAGCACGTCTACCCTGCGTATGTGCCAAGAGTATGCTGGTCCGACTTACCAGCATAGATCATCATGACCATGGTCACGAATCCGCTAAGCTGAGCCGCCAAGCCAAAATGCCGACACCACGCTCCGATGCTTCGATAAAGCGATGTATAGGCCAGTGCAGAAACGTAAAACACAAACCATAGTGTGAAAAAATTCCCGGCATCATTTCTTTTGAATCCAACCATGAAGTAATAGATCAGCTCAAAAAGGCTATACGTGCAGAAGACGATGGGAATGTCAGTAATGACGCATGCCACGGCGTAGGCTGCTGGCCGGTTGAATGCAAGGAGCTTGTGTCTCGTCAAGATAGGCCTTCCCATGAATGAGGCAACAGTCTCGGACATCATATTCATTGCCCACAACATTATCGGAAAGAAGAGGGCTCCGGGCCGAGGGAAGATAGACTGGCTGCTGTTAGGTAGATTGTAATTCAGACTGCCAGTCACAAGAGCCATAATGATGGATGAGGCGAGCTGCAAAATGTTGGACCAGCGGTCTCCCCAGAGAATTTCAAACTGTCTGCAATGCAGTGAGCAGCATGCAATGCAACATCTCAAGGAGGACGCACCTTTGAGCCAATGACATGACTTGCTTGAAAAAGGAAGCATGATACGGGCTCCCTTCTCGCGAGAGAAATGCCATGGTGCGGTTCTTCTCGAGGTCCCGGACGGCCTTCAGGTCTTCAACCTCACGGGCCAGCAAATGCTCCGGTCTCGATGCCATCGCACTCTTCATTCTTTCAAACATCGGGCTCGACTTGTATCGAGCTTCAAACTCCTCGGCTGTATTGGGAACCTGGTTCTCAAAGCCTGGGGCAATTGCTCTTTCGGTGTGAACAGCAACGGCGGTGACAAAGTCGGCGATGTTAGCCCCCGGAGCGCACACGAAGCCCATGTTTTCGAAGTACTCGCGAGCATCTGACGCCGGCCCATAGTAGATCTCCCGACCCTCGGCGAGTACTAAGACCTTGTCGAACTCATTGAAGATGCCATTACCTGCTTGATACAGTGTCGCGACGACCGTCTTCTGTTCTTCGTTCGCTGATCGGCGCAAGACACGGGCAAAGTCGAGGGCGTTGCTTGCATCGAGACCCCTAGTAGAATTATCCCAGCACTGCAACGGAGCCTTGTCTGCTAGTCAGGAAACCTCTTCAGATTATCAGAAATAGGAGAAAGCATCCACATACCTGTGTTGCCATCACCTCGGCCAATGATACTCTCTTCCTCTCGCCGCCCGACACGCCTCTTATGAATTCATTGCCTACCATTGTGTCCTTCGTGTGGGCGATACTGAGGGACGTGAGAATTCCATCCATGGTATGCGAGACGTAGTCACTTTTGTCTTGCAGATGCTCCGGCCGCGTCCCAGGAAGCTTAGTGGACGTGGCGAAGCCGACTGTCTGTCCAACAGTGAGTGTCGGGAAGTGCAAGTCCTCTAAAGCTGATCAGCATTCGACGCTTTTGGAGATGCGCTCTCTCGTGATCCCTTCCTACCTTCTGTATTCATGACAATGTGCTGACGGAAACTTTTGGCTTGCTTAGAGTCCATGTTGCCGTAGCGGACCGAACCCGTGACATTAGGGAATTCGTGGCGATGGTTGGCAATGACCTTCAACAAGGAGGTGCAACCAGATCCAGGCCGTCCCAAGACAAGGAGCTAGGAAGACGTGTGTTAGGTCACGCGAAGGGCCAAGAAATATTACCTCAAGGAAAAGGGGACCCTCACCATCTCACCAGGGCAAACTTGGCCAGTGACACCCTGCAGGATGGACTGCGGTCCGGGTCAGCATCTTGTTTATGTGAGGGAATGGGGCTGTGTAGAACGAACCCGCTTCGAGGTGTGCTTCTTGAAGACGATCCATGAAGTGACAACAGACATGAAAGTCGGCGCGATGTCCTCGCCCTGGCCGTGCACATCGATACCAACATCTCGAAAGGAGACAGTCAAACGCTTCTCCGGCTCCTGGCGGCCGTCGTTGACACCGTAGACGGTTTGATCGCTGTCTGACACATCCATGATGCGGATAAATTGTCATCTGGCTCAATTTCAGCCAGGACGGTCTCGCGAGCCGCAATTGTAGATATATCGAAGGCATGAGGCTGCCGGCAGTCCCGGCGCGAATTCGGAGCCTGTATCTCGGATTTACGGTATACAGCAATCCGTATAAGACAGAAATTAAATACCAGAGACTAGACGCAGCAATCCATATCTCAGTGGGCTAGCCTCCGGCGTGTGCTGAAAGTAGCACGGCCACCATAAGGAATATGGCCGACCAAGGGTATGACAATGCTAGAGAGTATCCACTCGCCTTAGATTGAGCCTTGCTTGTTACATTTTGAGCCTCTAGCACCCTACCTAGTGCATACTGGTGTATACCTGTGGATACGTCGTCCACGCGGTTGGAAGGGTCAGAATGACTAACTATGAATATATGTCTCTTCCAAGAATCCTGTTAATAGATTCTTGTCTTGCGAGGTTTAGACTGGACTATACTCAACGACGGCACTTGTCCGGTAGGTAAATTGGATTTTCTGCCATGAAAAACTTTCTTCTCGGATTTGTACTAGTTTCACGTCAAGTTGTCGAATTTCACAAGGTAATTCAACGAGCATACCCGGCTTGTATGGGGACCTTGCTCGCACGCTTCGCAATGTCGATGATAAATGCGGGCCAGAAGGCGAAGCTAGTGACGGATTTACGGATTTACGGATTTACAGGCGGATCTGTGGAGTAAGGAAAGTGGGAATACAAAACCAAAAGAAAAAACAAAAGAAAAAAGGCCCTAAGAGCCCTCTAATTTTGCCTCCTTTATTAGTCAACATATCAAAATGGCTCGCTCGCGGATTAACGGCATTAAACAAATCCGTTTTGATCCCTTGGCTTCCGGCCGTCCACACTTTGCATGAACATTCCAAACCTCCGTACGCACACGCAAAGCGATGAACCGCAGAGAAAGTAAGATATGCCGCGCCTGCGAGCCTTGCCGCCGCCGCAAGATCCGATGCAGTGGCGAGCGCCCTTGCCAGCATGCCCGTTGCCAGGCCAAACCCTCCGAATGCCGGTACCGAGTCAAAGCTCGTATCAGAGGCTCTCTCAAGGCTGTCCTGAGCCACAGTACTGGTCTTGCGATAAACAGCCCGGCCCAGACGGTTGAGCTGCCTTCTGACGCCCGGCAGATTGAGCATCCCGAACTGGAAGCGGCGGCGGCGGCACCTGCGGCTGCATCTACGTCTACGCCCGGACCCGGACTCGGACTCGGGCCCGATGACCCCGTCCACAACAGCATCACCGCCACACACTCGGCACCTACTGCAACGGACAGCTCACAGCTTTTCTACGGCGCATCATCCAACTTTGCCTTCTTGCACCAAGTCCACCGCGGTATCCTGCACAATGCCTCCGCTCAGGACCAGCCGCGTAATCGTGAGGTCCAGGAGGGCGGGCCGTCTCTTGACATGTTCATGCAGCGGACGCTGTTTTTCGGCACGCCATCACGCATCGATGCTGAAGTGATCCGCATCCGGCCCGCCGCCTCATTACAGCATATACCCCAGGCCCTAGCCAGGGTCTTCCTCGATCACTTCAAAAATGTGTGCCTTCCTCGGCTCCCTTTCTTCACATCATCTGAGTTGGAAACATTCTTGTACGATCTGTATATCGATGAGAATGGCCCGGACAAAAGTGCTCTGCTGCCGCAGACCAAGGCCGTCTTCTTGGCCGTGCTGGCCCTAGGTGCACTGTGCACTCCACACACCAACGCGGCCGAGATCCTCATCATGCAGGCCAAATGTCAGGTGGCCATGTACGACGATGCGGTGACGCTACAGATGCTACAATTCTCGCTCCTCATGTCCGGATACCAGCTGGATATGGGCCGACCCAACTCTGCCTATCTCCATCTAGGCGTGGCATGCCGGAAGGCGTTTGCGCTTGGCTTGCACAAGGAATCAGCGTCAACAATCGACAGCGAAGAGACTCTGGAAAAGCAGCGAGCTACCCTCTGGAGTCTGTACTGCCATGAAACGTAAGTGTGATGGACTCGGGTGCTGTCCCGTCTCGAAACTTGACCCATTTAACCGTCAAACAGTTTGACATCTCTCGTCCTGGGCAGGAAGTCCGCCCTGAAGTTGAGCGACATCTGTTGCCTCATGCCCAAGGATCGGCCACAACTTGTTAGGTTCTGCCGACTCTCCAGCATTATCGAGGACGCTGTAGACACGATATACCATCACCGATCCGAATCCCTCCTCCAGCTCTATGAGAAAGCTGAAAGGGTGCATGCCCGACTGCTTCAATATGCAGACGAGTTTGGCATCGCATCCGCAGGTACAGGCCACAACAGAAATAAGTTTGATGATCTAGGATCGCTGATACTGCATAACTGTGAGAAGCCGAGCCCCTTCCAACGTGATAAGATCACGTTCAACTAACTTTGGGCCAGGGTATTATCTTGCCGTCATGCTTGTGTTCAGGCCATTCCTAGTCGCTGACTTTGCGTTACGCTCCGCTGGAAGCGTCTCCTATGACGAAAGGATGTGGCTGCGACACGCCTGTAGGTGTGCCGTCGACGCAGCGCAAGACTCCATCACCTTTGCCAGCAACATGTTCCGGAAACCGGATCTGGGGAGCACGGACGTAAGAGCCCACGCGGTTCGACTTCATGGCTTCTTCTTTGACGCATGCTGTACCGTCCTTCTCTACGATATCTTGTCCCACCCTTCCAAGTATACCTTCAACCTGGACTATATCCAGAGTGCGCTTCGTTGCCTTAATGCTATGGTCCACGACGAACCCATAACGGCAACGACGAGTTCAATCGAGACAATGCTCAAGGCGGTGGAGATGTCGATCTCACAGCAGCACCACACCTATCACGCGCCGTATCCGCCGCAGACCCTCCTCGCCATGCCGGCGGCTTCTGCCAGCCCGAACACTCAGCTCGAACAACGACCACTTCCGCGGGCCGGCATTGCCCATTCTGCGCCGATTTTCGGCACTCAATGGCTCCCGATGGGCAAAGATGAAATGATTCTCTTCAGCGACCGCTCTTTGTCGCACCAACCCGGCAGCAGCCAACAAGAGTTGCGGCTGCATGAGATACCCGCAGCCGCCTCCGGGACTGGCGAGCTAGAGGCAGTGGCACCCCCGCCCGATCTCTTCTCCAACCTCAACCTCGACGTGCTTACAACGGACCTGCTCAATTTCTTCCCTGTCGGTGTCACGACTCCGGAGGGCACGGCAGCGGCCGTCATGAGCGGGGAAAGACCGGTCCCCTGATTATGCAGCATCAACAGGCAAGGGGGCTGTACAAAGCATAGCCCAGTATGGAATTGAATCCGCTGCTCGTTCTCTATAGCCAGCTCCGCCGGGGTTGAACCACGTGTGGCCAGCCTAATGGGCCAGTATTAACAAGGCGGTACACCCTTCAGCCAGGAACTAGATCCTGGTGGTTATGCAGATGAAGGTTCTTGTGTTTTTGACCGAAGCTGCTTCGCCTTCGCAAGCTCCATGCCTTCAGTGCTTACAAGAACAACTCCACCGAAGCCGCCCTACGCAAATGGGTAGTCATAAAAGTAGCAGCAGTCCTGCATTAACATCTCGACGGGTCGGCCAAATGCTGACCGCGCACATCCATAAGGAGCATGGGGTATGGCGGAGTCGGTAGTCACGATTATGGACGAACGTGCTATCCTGATTTACACCAATAACAAGTCGTACCTTGTGAGTGTTTGCATGAACGATGAAGCTGGCAGCTTTGATCCTGCTGCCCTGTGGGCCTTCGACGTATGCTCCATCGTGTTCAACACGAGAATGAGGTCAAAAACTGGAAAAGTGTATTGCCAATGGAATGATCCAGAGCGTCAATGGTTCTATGGGGTCTCGGACGTTAATGTGGCTGTTACATATATCGGCAAATACTAGCCTGGTACGTACTCTGAGATTGCCAGCTTTCGGGTGATTTGGCCAATTTTCTCGTTCCAAGTCTGTCAATGAAGGTCGAGGCTCCCTCCAAATTCATTGTCGGGTCGTCCGAATCGTGTGAAAAGCAGATATACTACTATTCTTCACAATTGAGTGAGGAAGGCCTTCCGGGAAGTGCTTGTATACTGCTGGGATAAGAAGAAGTACCTTGCCCTTGGCTGCAATAGCTTATTCGGTCGTTGCCTTGATATGTGATGCAAGCGTATCAGGTAGGAGTAAGCAGACTATGTTGAGGGTGATGACTACCAAATGAAGTTCAAAGCCTTGATAAATAAGTATTTCCTACCTCGATCTGGATTTAAGATATAGTTGACAAGCGTAGTCAATATCATCCACCACCTCAATTATCGCCTTCCCCCTAACCAGCGACGAACTACTATACGCGATTTTTGACTAGTAGCTAGGAATCTATTACTATCGCTCAGCGCCCTTGTATTGTGTAAAACACGCGGCCGTTCCTGCTGGCCGGTTTCCAAGGCACACAGTCTCATCGATCGCTTTCATAGCAACGGCATTTGCAAGAGAAATGCAAGAGAATGGGCGACTAGCGAGCGCATCAGGAGCTGGGCGCAATTGAGGTTAAGTGTAGTAAAGCCTTCGGCGACCGTTCGACAGGCACACGCCATAGAAAGGAAAGCAGGCTCCGCGCGCGCACTTCAAATCTCTTTCTACCTTTCTTCATTCTTTTCTTCTGTAGTTAGGATATAGCCACCACTAGACCAAGCACTGAGTGCGCACTATTATTTGGCATTATCACACCACCACATGATAGATCAATGGAACCAATCGGAACTCTTCTTCAGACATATTTTCAGACTTCTCACAAGTCCATACATTATTATCACAGCCAGAAAGACAACCACCCCGCAGACACCCAGCTAGAACAGCCTGACAAGATAGAAACATAGATTACATACAGATAAGATGGCTATCACTTTCTTAAAATGATAGACTTACCAAAAATTAATAATAGTTATTGTTACAATCAATATATATATAGTATATCTTTTGACTTATCTTAGGATATAAACCTAAGGACCCTTAGTTATCTATTGAAGATTCGATAGGAAGGATAGTTATAACTATGTTGGTGGTGATGAAGGGGGTGTATGTAGTCAATGATGGTGGTGGTATATTGACGAACCTTAAACAAGTCATGAGTTATGGTATGTGATGCTTGTTACAACTCATCTACAGACTGTGGAAACTTTGGTCTAGATAAAATGACCATAAATCAGTTGACATATATGCTCTATCCCCGGCTTTCCAAAAGTGACTCTATCTTAGGCATGTGTGATTCATCTATACTGTCTGTGGCTGTTTCTGCTCTACCATCGCCGTCCAAGGCAGTAGTTACACCCGGGTTTGATTTATCCAGCCCCGTTCGCCTTATCAGGTTGGCTGAAAGGTTGGTAGATCCTGATGTCAAATTTCTCTGAAACGAATTCGAAAGCTATCATGACAAGATCTTCTGATGTTTGAGAATACACGTGCCCTACAAGCTTAATTACCTCATTTTAGTATGATCGAGTTTGTTCATTACAACAACACTTAAGACTATAGAAATGGCTTGCAACTCCCAGAAGACTAGTCAAGATTCCCAAGAAGAGCTGCTTGCCGATAGGCCAAGACCTGGAGTTTGTTAGAATTTCAGATAAAGATCCCGCTAAACGAGGTTGAGAGCTATCTGAGAGCGATTATGAATTACAGTACTATAGACATTTGAAAATTCAAACTCTGGGCTAAAATGCCCAAAATGAATGATACTAGCTTGCCAGAAGAAACATCGTCGAGAGCACGAATGAAATTGTTGCCACGAAGTTGGCTCTGTATCACAAGTCTTGCTCTTGTACAATCACTTCTATTCATGACCGCTGCGGCAGAAAGGTCGTATGAAGGGATTAACTTACTGACACTGCCCACTATGACAGGTGCTTCTGTATAATTTTTCGGTAACAGTGTCATTTCTTTTTAAATTAAGGGAATGATAATGTAGTAGTAGGCTTTATCCACTAGAGTTGCTGAATAGCTAAAATAACCAGCAGCCTCTTAGAAGTCGCAAACCTCGGCGATATGTTTTACAGCTTCAAAATTTTCCCTCAAGTTTTCGACCTTGGTCTGAGCTGCCTTGATATCCAGATGTCCAAGCGGCAGTGTGAACTGTTGGCTCAGTCCTTCCGCTAATCCCTGGCCCAAGGCGAAAACAAAGACCTGTTCAGCAGCCATTTGGCAGGATCTCCTGGCTGCTTCCCATTTAATCCGCACACTCAGCGCATATGCGGCTTCTAAGTTTGCCTTGGAGGGCTTGAGCGAGGTGCTTCATATGGAGTATGCCGAATCTGGTATCAGGGTCATTCTGGTTGAGCCTGGCCCATTCCGAACCGACTTTCTTGGTGACAATACAAAGTTGACGCGTCGTCCCATGAGTGATTTTTATCGGATCACAGCAGCAGGTGCGATGCTAGATCATCTCGAAGGATTGACACCTTTACAGTTGATAAATCAAAATTCTTTCAGTGAGTTCTTTAAAAGCATACATGGTCTCAAATACCTCCCAGCCATACGGGGCAGTTGCCTTTGGCTCACTCTCCATACATGCCAGCCATTTAGGGTTGGAGCTGGCCGTTCAGCTAGTGGATGCAAGGGGCTGACACCAGAGATAAGACCCCACAAAGCTGGACTGAAGTCGTAGCTAGGTCTACATGTACGCCACTAAGATGTGTACAGAACCTGATAAGCGGTAGCCATGATTTGATGCATTTCATCAGTTCGCGTCGATGCTTTCTGTGATGGCGCCAGTGAATGTGACAAAATCTGGACCAAGACCTATGAAATGGTCTGGAATACTAAGCTATATATTGCTATGAGATATTCCTGGAAGCTATGTAAGGCAGCTATATCCTCCTGATAACTTGGAGCCTATCTCCTGGTGTATTAATCGGGTTGTAAGCTATCAGAGAACAACCCTCACTCGATTCACACGTTTTCCCTGGGCGGGATAGGCTGACTATGCGTTAGTTCGTTGTTCCTGCCTTCCATGCTTGGGAGCAACTTACAGATTGTGGTGGTACGGAATCGTACCAGGTCACAAGTTTTGGCAGCCGAACATCTGAGGGTGTCATATCTGGGCGGTAGCGTGGACCACTAAAGATGAATGACATGGGAAAACCAGGATCAAAGTCCGCGGCATCGTTGATCTCGTCCATTTCCTCCTCGGATAATTTAATAGACAGTGCTTCAATATTAGATTTGAGGTGTTCAGCTTTGCGGCCTCCGATGACAGGAAAGACGTATGGGACCTTATGAAATACCCATGCTAGAGCCTTTCGTGTTTCAAATTAGCCATGACCAGTAACCACTTTCGCCTTTAGAAAACTTACGATGGCCTGAATACTCTTTCCTTTAGCTTTGGCAATTTTCTCCAAAACTTGGGAAACTTTCATATCGACCAGACGGGCAGGGCGACGATTGAGATCGCGACCACTTTTGTCCTGTTCTCTCTGAAGTCTTTGTTCTTCAGTTTGTATATGACCAGACCCAAGAACGCCCCATGGGCAGATTCCCATATTCTCAATACGGCACATGGGAATAATCTCGCTCTCCATATCACGGAAGGAAGCGGACCAACGGCCTTGGTAGGCGATGAACGGTCGAAGTCCGTGATCTCTGGCATCTGATCACACATTAGATTACTGATCGTACCACTAGTCTCAGAAGATGACAGGCGGTCTCGATATGACTTACATTGATTGGCTTTCGATACAATGAAAGCTGGTGTGTCTGACACTGCTAGATACAAAACCTTGCCATTGTTTACGTATACATTCAAAGCATGCATGACCTCTTCAACTGGTGTGGTGAAGTCCCACCTAATGATTATCAGCTTTGCATCCTAATGAAGCACGCTTTGATAGATGAATCGAACTTACCAGTGAACGTAAAGAATATCGATATAGTCCGTCCTCAACTTCTTCAAGCTCGCCTCGATGGAATGGTGGAGGCTTTTCGCCGAATTACCAACAAAATTAGATTGGATTTCTTTACCAATAGAGTGTTGTCGAAACCCGGTCGTGTACTTTGTAGCAATTACCATCTGATCGCGAACCTTTCTATCTTCTAACCACTCGCCAAGCCACTCCTCGCTTTGCTCGTCCTGGTACATATTTGCACTATATAAATAATGGAACTACTAAGCATTGGACTTGTAGGTGGTTGAGTAGGCGAACTCACGTATCGATAAAATTACCACCGAGCCCGTAAAACGTGTCTAGAACTTCAAACGCACCTTCCTTTGTGCATTCGCCCATGAAATCAGACCTGAGATAATGGTCAGTACTTGACCCTGAACAGCTGGATCAAACATCTACCATCGAGTTCCGAAGCTCATAGTACCTAGACATATTGGCGATACTTTAATTCCAGCGGATGGCGAAAGTAATCGGTGATATCCGAGAGGATTGCCGGGTTTTGGCGCCTCTTTGAAATGTGCCATTCTGTGCACTTTGCAAGACGCTGGCGCCTGTACTAGAGGAAGCTCGTTGACTGTTATGAGTGCTGTGGTTGAGCGGCGTCTCTAAGGTCATGATACAAAGACTTTTGAATCAAGTGCTCCTGCTCCTAGGTAGCCATCATTTCATTTATTCTAGATTGATGAGCGGCACCTAATGAATTATCTCCGTGTTGTTCACGCGTACCTTACAGGGGGTCAAGTGAGTGTTTGCGGGTATCCGAACTACCCCTTGCTATTGGCAGCGACTTCAGACCATTACCACAATCTCACAATCAACCCTAACAACCAACCCTAACCTGATGTTTATCTGTTAGTAGATGCACACGCTGATACCGATACAGTGTCTCTCATGTGTACCTTCTGAAGACAGTCGCCAACCCGGTGTACATGGTATGTTACCGTCATACGCCGAACTAGCACTCTAAGGGAAGGCGTTTTACATCATACCTGTAGGTCATGACTCGCAAGCGACGCTAAGTCATGCCCTGTCAGCCGGTTGCGCTAGTGTGCATGGAGTCCTGGTTATATTTTGGGTTGACCCTAGTGCTGGACTGGGCTAGCGTATACAAGCTTCCGGTCGCTCGATTCAGGTCGCCTCTAACAAGGCAGCGTAATAAAACTGTGTTGAAAAGCTGACGAGCTAATCTCCTCATTACTAGGCTCATGGCTATGAGCGTGGTCTTATATAGAATTATGAAATGCTGGATCATTGGATTATCTCGACGATTCCGTGGTGATCCGGTCTCTTATCTTATCTATACGTGATTTCCGTTGTCGCTGTGCTTGTCCACCGTTCTTTAGGCGCCTGCGGGGTTGGTCTTGTCTCTGGCCGTAACAATTAATTACACCAATTTGATCACGAACTCCCCATAGCGAGCCCACTAGTCATAAGGACCTGGGTGACGACAGCTATTCTTGGGTTATTACCGAGAACCTTTTCCCAGATAAGCCTAAGACATGGCCGGATACTTTGCAAATTTGTTACTAGCAGGTTCAGACAAGATTAACCCGTACTACTTGAAACTATTCGATTCACGACATTAAAGCTCTATAGACCTCAAAAATACAATTAAAGAAGTTACAGGAAAGAGGTTGATTTAGAACCTGACGAAGGAGTCCAGCTTGCGGGATTTATTACAGAGCAAATGCCCAAAGTACACGTACACGGTGTTGTCGACAGGACAACAGTTGGGCTACCAGTTGGAATCGAAGACAATTTTGAGAATGATGGCAATTTCATCCGCGGCCACATCGAGTTGGTCGACGCTTTTCGAGACCCAAAGTAGGTGCCGGACACAATTTGGTTCATTACCTAAACGCAATATGCTACATAGATGCTGTGTAGAGTGATAAGAAATATAATGCTGATGATATGGACTTGGTACCACCGGGAAAAGCTCATGATTTGAGAGATTCAAAAGTTTGGGATAATCATATGTTAGATGTCCACCTATGTCAAATGATTCATGTGACATCGCCAGGCTCATGAAATACGAACTACAGTCACTACGTGAGTCCTGTCCACTCTAATGACTTTGACCACAGTCTCTGAGCTTTCTCCTCATCATAAGCATGACTGCCATATCCAGGACCCCAAGCACCCTTGGATGGATCCCATGCCTCAGCGATCTGGCAGTCTTCCAGATATTTACCGCCTCGCCCCTCGAGAGAAGGGTCGGTAGCAGCCCACACACTTGTTGCAGCACCCTGAGCTGGGGTCTTGAACACCTTCTCTAAGTACGCGTCTTTCGTTAGTCCATCCTGTTGGTCGCTGGACATATGTCGCATCAGATCGGTAAGGACAGCTCCAGGCTGAACGCTCCATGCATGAATGCCGCGAGCACCGTATCGTCGTTCGATCTCATTTGCAGTCCATAGATTAGCCGTCTTGCTTGAGGCATAAGCTGCCATGGCATCATAGTTGCCGTCGAAGTTGACATTATCGAACGGCACTTCGCCGAAACGATGTCCAACGGAGCTTAATATAACGACACGCGATGCCAGCTCTGGCGTTGAGCCTGCGAGTAGAGCCGGCTGCAGGAGGTTGAATAAGAGGAAGTGTGCAAGATGGTTTGTCCCGAACTGTGTCTCGAACCCGTCCTCGGTGCGACCCTCGGGTGGCGTCATAACGCCCGCGTTGCAGATCAGTATGTTTAGAGACTGGCACTCCGACAAAAAAGTGGCAGTACAAGAGCGTACACTTTGGAATGAGTTGAGATCCAGTTGAAGAAGATGAACACGGTCGCTACTTGTGAGGGCTCCCAAGGCTTCCTTGGCCTTGGCCAGATTGCGCGCCGTTAGATACAGCGTTGCTCCCGTGAGAAAGAGCGCCTTCGCAGACTCGACGCCTATACCAGATGAACATCCAGTGATGAAGATGGTCTTCCCTTGGAGTTTTCCCTCCAGATGTTCGTCCTTGATGATTTGTTCTGCCGTGGGGCGAGAATCCCCTGGGCCTTGAGGGGTATGATGGACGGCAGCATATCGAGAAGACATCTTGACGCAAAGAAAGCGCCACAGAAGGACTAGGATCTAGACAGTGACTGGTATTGAAGCTGGACATCACACTCTATATATGTGCTCTGGTCTCCGTAATGCACCGCCGCCATACAGCTCTTGACTGAACAAGGTGTAGTAGGCCAGTTGCGTTACTTTTCAGGTGTGGCTCGTTGTCCCCACTTACACGGCGGAATAAAGTTTGACTAAGGCAGGTTATTAGTTTGAAGCTAAGCAGAAAAGGCTCTAGTGTGAGACACTCGACTCACATTAGGACGCCATTCTTTGAGAACCGGTCAGCCAGTTGCAGTGGCTCATCAATTTTCCGAAAGCGAGATCATCACGTAGGAAAAGGACTTACTCGGCGATATGCGGCGATACGTGGCGATAACTTGATTTTATGTGCTGAGGAAAGGACAATTCTGGAACGTTGACTGAAGATCGATGCAAGGTTCGAGCGGCTCTTTGTTAAAAAATTCAGTCAGATTCAGTCAGAATTGATATCACTAGTTCCACCCAAGTCAACAATAAAGCTTCACAGAGTCTTGTTCGGTATATTTCTCTAGAAGTTACTGGTGCTGTCCATACACACAAATACCACGCGACATACAGCCTGAAACCTTGTTAATTGCCTAATTATGCCTGTAAAGTACCATGCTAGTTTAATTGGAGTCTGACGACGCCGCCAACAGTGGAATTGCCGCTGGGTTGAGCCGTTGTAATATACAATGCAGCCTTGTCGGCGCAATCACGACCAAACGCAACTGATGATTCAGCACCCAAAAGCTTGGAATTGATCAAGACCCTACTAGTCCTTGCCAACACATCAACTTCAATGAGATTATAGGCTCCGTTCATGGTGACCCAAGCCTTCTTGGCGTCGGCGGAAAGAGTGAAGTCATCAGCCACGAACAGGTCTGTGGCCAAGACGTCTATAGAACCAGTCTGCTGTCCCGTGCTTGTTGAGATAGGTACGCGTCCAAGAATCCCCTGATTCAAATTCGTGAAGAAAAGCTTGTCGCCATGAGTGTGAATACCGTTGACAGCTACGGCAAGATTGGTCTCGTTCGAATTGCTGAGCTTGGGGTCGTCGATAACAATGATCGCCTCGCCAGAAGTGACGTCGATTCGAGTAACAGTGCCGTTGATTGAGTCAGCCACCAAGATGTGACGCATGTCGTCTAAAGCAAGTCGTGTCATGCCGTTGAACAAGATACCCGAGTTGGCAGCCACCACGAGTGAAACGGTAGCTGGTTCGACCACTTCGCCATTGGATGTGACCCGCATTGAACGCATGTCGACCTTCCAGATCTCATTATAGGGGTTTGAAGCTGTCAGCGTCACTGCACCTGTGACGTAGAAGACATCTTGCTCGAGCTCAGTGATGCCCAGTAGAGCAGTCAGGTTTGCGAATTGGTGAATAACGACGGAGGAGGTCCAGTTCTCGTTGGGAGAGACCAGGAAGAGCGAGGATGAGTGAGTGGATGTCACAAGTAGCCTGCCATTGCGTTGGACTGCAAGATTTTCGAGGGACGGAGTTTCCGGAATTGTTGTGACGAGCACTGGCTGAAGTGGAAGACCCGCGCCTGAGACGAAGCCGAAGGCCGCCAGTTGGACGAGAACTCGCAGGACAATCGCTGGAAACAGCATCCTGAATGATTTGTGTGAAATGTAGATATCATCCTTTCAGATGGCGGATGCGATTTTTAAAGTCTACGACACGTGGATATCTGTGTAGTGGTGGTAGTGGACCAAAGGACCCGCCTACTAGCAAAGTTCTCATTGCGAGATTACCAAATACACTAGACTCCCCGTCCTAGCTAGCCTCTTTCAGTAAGGCTCTACTTGTAGGTGCCTGCGCTATACTCCACACAGTATGTTTATCAGCATCCATTATCCTATAGTTCTCTTTACTAAAGGAAGTAGAAATAGTAAAGCACGTAACAGCTAGTAATAAAGAATATATTGCCTAGATCACAATAGAGTACTTTATTTACCTATATAGATAGCCTCCTTTCTATGCATTTGTAAAAATATGGCAAGCAGAGCCAACTTTGAGCCCGGAGCTTGCACGTGCCACTGCTGGTAAGGCCGCGATTGACAGCACGCAGATGTATGCCCGACTTCGGCGTCTCAGCCACGGGTCAACAGGAGTAAACCCCCTCCCCAGTGATATCCCTAATCAGTATCATTGACCAACACGTACCGATATCTCGCTTTCCCTGCTGTCATGTCGACGACAGCTTGATTGGCGTCTTTCATTGACCTCGTCTGGATCCATGGCTTTATCTGCTTTTCGGCCGAGAAGTCCAACATTTCCTGGATCATGGCAGGTGATCCAATTGCGCTGCCTCCGATCTTGATTCCGTTGGCTATCAAAGTGAAAGCATTGACAGGTGGCAGGTTTCCACCATCAGGTGCACTGTAGACTGTCAGCATCTCATGAAGCGATCAAAGGTGGCTGTAAGACTAACCCGACTTGAATGAAGGTACCTCCAACCTTAAGCAAGGACAGATACCCCGACAGTGGCATTTTCTCGCTTGAAACAGTGCAGACAATCAGATCCAGCGAGCGGGCGTGCTTTATGTTCCACTGGTGGTCATCGTCGGTCGCAATATAAGAATCTGCTCCCAGATTCAGGACCTCGTCCTTCTTCGAAGCCTTGCGCGAGATTCCCACGACCTTATCGGCACCGAGAGCCTTGGCGAACAGGACACCAAAATGGCCGAGGCCGCCCACGCCAACGATACCAACAGTTTTACCCGGACCGCACCCGTTCTGACGTAGAGGTGAGAAGACTGTGACACCTCCACACAGCATAGGCGCAGCTGCTTCGGACGACAGGCTCTCGGGGATCTTGAAGACGAACCGCGAATGCGTTCGATTATAGGTGGCATAGCCACCATAGGATTTGCCCTCGCCGTGTGGATAGATCGAGCCGTAGGTATTGACATTCTCGCGAGCGCAGTGATTCTCCAGTCCACTGGAACAGTCTGGGCAGTCAGGCTTCAAACAACTCCGAGCTTGTGCGCCGACTCCAACGCGATCTCCAACACTAATGTGCTTAACGTTGCGGCCTACTCGCACGGCAATGCCAACAATCTCGTGGCCGACGCAGCATGCTGATGCAAGTTAGTATGCAAGTGTCAGACTCCTCCGCGGCTCACTCAAAGCCCGTCCACCTATTGCTGAAGCCTCTTCTGGAACCAGACGTGAGGAGACCGGACTTACGATAAGGAGTTTCGCCCCACCCGGATCTGAGTGTGTGCAGGTCCGAGCCACAGATACCACAGTGAGTGATCTTGATATCGACGTCATCCTCCTGCCACTTCTTGGGCTCGAACTGTCCCCATTCCATCTTTCCGTTGACCGCATCGGGAGAGTGACCGAGCCAGCCCTCGAATTTGTAATCCGTAGCCATAATGGAAGGTGAGTGATTTGGGTGCAATTTGCCCGGCTGCAAATACACGCGCGCACAAATATATATGTGTGTATACAAGTGTGTGCGTATTTGTTTGTTCGTTTGTTACACGCCTTTCCTGATACGCCTGTGTCTGGAACAAGAATCTTCACAAGTTCTCGTGGCAAGTTACGAAAGAGTTCTTATCAATTTGTCTCTTCTTTGCCGTGTGGGACTGAGGTCACTTGACTCGGTGAATTTGTCTAATCGCCGGCTCCAGGAGGCCGAAAACGTTCGGCCTCTCGTCACACTGGATCCAGATACTACCAAATACACTGTAGAGTACCCGCAACGGGTGGGGCAAACCGCTACCCGACAATCTTGGAAACTGTGGAGTAGTAAAGGGTCCCAACTGCCGAGGAGGATGACTCGCGAGATGCGTCGAACTGGTCATGACATCATCATAGAAGGGAGAAAATCTTGATGCAAATTCCCCCACCTCCAAAGTTAGCCTCTGAGAGAATGAGAGCAGTCCTTCGGTCACCACACGTATATTGCGTACTGTGTAAGTCGGCGTTGATGGAGCTTCTGAAAGAAAAGGGGAGAGCTGCAAGGTAACTAAGCCTTACCTAGATGGCCTTAGCGCATGATAAGGTTGCGTCATAGGTGAGAATTTTATCATGCAAGTGGCTGACGCGCTAAGTTTGCCGCGCCCTCGTGTTAGAAGAGTCTCGCCGCATCATACGTTCCCTGACGATAACACACCAGCTCCCACTCCGCGTCCCTGTGCGGCCGCTCGGAGTTGCTATGCCATATTGACATAAGTTCACCGTGTTAAAATGACCAAGATGGCATCAACTATCGGACTCCCTCCCTCGGTCTCTGACAGCCCCGGCTCGATTGCATGCTGTCCCAGTCGTGTTCATGAGCAAACCCCAACAGGGTATATTTGAGACGGTGGTTCTAAGGACCTGTGACAAAAGAGAGCCCCGCTAAGCCTAGTGGTAAGCTCCTTAGCCCCT